CTCTACAACAACTTTGACCCCTATGCGACAGATCTACACCTTGACCTTTCAGGACTGTAGCAGCTACGACCTTGACCTTTCAGAGAGGCTACAGCAAAGACCTCTACAACAACTTTGACCCCTATGCGACAGATCTACAGTTCAAGACCTGACTACTACACAGACCTACGACAAACAGCTACAGACTCCTACACCGCAGGTCACGGGATCAACTCACGGGGTACTGTACACAGGTGAGTGAGGTCTAAGGATCGAGCCCTGATATCTGCATCTGCTACTGCAAAGGCGAAAACTGTTTCAGCAGACAAATATAGGGCCTTATTGCGGTCAGATGCATCCAGGAGAGTCCATCTGAATGAGCAATGGACGTAATTGCGGTCGAATACAGGGCCTAATTGCGGTCAGATGCATCCAGGAAAGTCCTACACTAGTGAACTCCTTGCAACGAGTTCTGAACGTAATTTTGCGGGAAAATACAGGACCTGATTGCGGTCAGATGCATCCAGGAAAGTCCTACCCTAGGACTCCTTGGAATGAGCTAGCTCTGGACATAATTGCGGGCGAATACAGGACCTAATCGCGGTCAGATGCATAGAGGAAAGTCTGAGTGTAAGTATACCCTGAGTCTGTTTGCCCTGAGTCTGTGTGTGCTGTGAGATGGAAAAGGGATTGACAAGGGACCCTACAGGCGGGGTCCAGTAACTCAGATAGGCCCTAGAGTCCAGTAGCTACCTGAGTAGGCCGGTGTGAGGGCTGTATCTAGTCACGTTCAGGTCTACATACATGTCCTGCACATGCATATAAGTCTGCAATGATCCTCCCATCAAAAACGGAGAGGCTATGTAGTCTGGACATTCACCCATCACTGCCAGCAGTGATGCTGTTGGTCCTCCCTGAGGGAAAGTGAGGCTGGTCTCTCTCTCTCACACACACACACACACACACACACACACACACACACACACACACACACACGCACACATATATAAGTTGGAAAGATGAGCATAGCTCTTATGCATCTCCGACCCCGTCCTTTTTTTTCCCTTCCATCGCCCAAGCAAAAACGTAAAGTCCCCTATAGAAAAGAAAAAAAAAAAGTAAATGCAACGCTTTGCACGGAAAGAGAGGCGTCATCCGAATTAAAAAAAAAGAAAAAAAAAAAGAAAGATGATATGATGGCCGCCTACGAACCTGATCTACAAGCTTGTATTTGTTTGGAACAAATGGGAACCGGAACTTTGCATCTGCTTTCTTCACGATGATCCGATCCCAGAGTGAGACCTGCACAGCAAAACACAAATGCCACCAAAAAAAAAGTTTGAAAAATTCAAACACACATGCCGAAAAAAAAAAACAAAAAAAAAAAACAAAAAAAAAACACAGAGAGAGCAGTATCATGCCAGTATGTTGTGACTATCACGACATTACCTATCTTTTTTTCTTTTTCTTTCCCATATAATGCAAAAGACGATGCAAAGAAACTTTTCTAAGTCTCTTTTGCAGGAAAAGAAGGCGGGGGGGGAAAACAGTTCAAAACTGCAATCAGACTCGACTCATTCACATTTTTCATGTATGTAAACAGCAGCACAGCAAACTGGCGACATGCGCCCACTCAATACTCAGAGATATGGAATCCAGGTAAGAGTTCGCTTTCAGCGGCTATGGCGACTCTGGGCCCAACATCTCACTGTTCACACACACCCGATCACCCTGGATATCACACACGCATCACTCTGAACACTTACACAACACACACACACACACACTGCACTCTAAGCTACAGCTATGGCAGCTATGGCTGCCGCTACCCTATCGCTATGGCTACACTTTGTCACTCTCGCCCACTTCGTCCTCGGGCGCTACTGCAGACCTCCTCGCACAAGACGCTGAGACAGCGCTTCCGCATGGCTTCCGCATGAATGAATGAATGGCTGTGCGCGGCCTCTTGATTTATACTTCTGTGACTCGTTGGTCTGCCCTGTTTCCCTGTCCCACGGTGCACACAGTCCCAGGCGGTACTTGCTTGACTGGACCGAACTGACTGGACTGGGACTGCTGACTCTGCACGGTGGACTTCCCCCACTTGCCCACTTGCCTGGACCTACAGTGGGCTGACTCCGAAAGGCCACTTCTAGAAACATCTACTTGGCCTTTCGGTACTGTAGCATCTACGATTCTGCCCTTTCAGGTAAGTAGCGGCTACGACTTTGACCCTTCGGAAAGTCTACAGCTAAGACCTCTGGACTCTCTAGACTCCTACCCGATAGGTCTACAGTTCGAATCCCCTATACCCTGTAACCTACGACGACCTACCTACCACTGGCAGTCCTACAGGTCGCGGGTTCAACTCTACGGGTTGACACAGGTACGGTACTGTACACAGGGAAGGTGGGGACTAGGGATCGAGCACTGGGATCTGCATCAGCTACTGCGAACTGGTGAATACCGTTTCACTCCCGCCGGCCTAAATTCGAGTCCTCCGAGAATATTTCAGTCCACGGCAGGACCTTTACCCTTTTTGTCTCTTTCGTCGGCCTTGACTACATCGGGAGCTGTTTCTAGAAGTTCAGTTCTAGTGAACCACCGGTCGTCTTCTGGTTCCTGATATGCAAATCTGACTTTATACTGTTTCTGAGGGCGACCTCGACCTCCTGTTCTAAACACGTCTTCACCTACAATGCCGTCAATGTCGTACCTTCCATCCATGTCTGGAGGGATCATGGAACGCCTCAATGGAAACTGGTCACTTACTGTGCATGGCAACAACTTTGACGCATGGAAAACTGGGTAGGTGTGGAGGTGTAGTGGAATCTCTATCGAGTATGACGGACCATCTTCTCTGCCCTTGACTTCTAGAACTGGCCACAGTCCTCTATACGCAGGCAGTAACTTTTGTGAGATGTTCTCCTCAGGAGCAAACTCCTTAGTTTTGACCCAGACTAAGTCACCAACTTGGAACTGTGAGGGGCGACGATGTTTGTTGGCTTGCTCTATCATCCGATGCTGGGCCTTCCTGAGGTTCTCTACAACAGTAGCTAGTTCTTTTTCGTGCTGTATAGCAAACTCCCTAGTACCGGGCGGTAGCTTATGGATTTGACCCCGGTTAAGCCCTTCAAACGGACTGCGCGGTTTAAAGGACTTGTGCAGTTCGTTGGGAGTGCGGCACGTAGACAAGTGCACACTATTGTTGTACGCACTGGCTACCTTGGGGAGCATCTCATCCCAGTCAACCTGATCTGGTCTAATGTACATTCTGAGAACTTGCTGCAGGAACTTATTCATCTGTTCAGTCTGGCCGTTAGTCTCTGGATGACGGCCGGACGACATCAACAACTTAGAGCCATAGACTCTCATCAACTCCTGCCAGTTCTGACTTGTGAACCGGGTGTCTCTATCACTAACTATGGACAATGGGAACCCGTGTTCACTGACCCAATGGTCAAAAAACTTACGGATCACTAACTCCGTTCGTGCCTCTGAAGGCAGAGGTATAAAAACAGCATACTTGCTAAATCTATCAACTATCACCATGACTTGGCTCTTGCCATGCCTACTCTTGACGTCTGCGTCCATGAAGTCGATGGACACTGAATCTCCTGGCTGATCTGGAATAGGCAAGGGTCGGAGAAGACCTAGCGGGGCACGCGTAGTAATCTTATTCCTCTGGCAGACTTTACAACTGCGGACATACTCTATGCAGTCATTCTTCATTCCTGGCCAGGTGTACGCGTGCATTAGATTGGCTAAAGTCTTTTGCCAACCAAAATGACCTTCTGTGTCGTGACATTCTCCCAAGATCAGACTACGGATCTCCTCACTGTTGGGAATGCATAATCGGTCAAACACGTTAGTCTTCTTAAAAAGCAACCCCTCAGTAGTGCAGTAATCTGGTTCGGTCTCTGGGGCCTCCGTTACTCTCTTGAGGAGGTCACTATAGACAGGGTCCTGCGCATATGCTTCTTTAACCTTTTGCTGCGGGTCTCTTCCTATGTCCAGATAGTGAACTATCGCTCCGAAGCAGTCAGCTCTTCTACTCAGAGCGTCCGCAACTACATTATACTTCCCTTTGACTGGCTTGAGCTCAAAATCATACTGATCTATCTCTGCGGCCCACCTAGTAAGCTTAGGTGTCATCTTGGCCTGCGTCTTTAACCATCTCAATGTCTCGTGGTCTGAATAGACTTTGAAGTGCCTCCCAAGCAAGTAGTGCTTCCAGTGTTCTAGCGCTTGCCTGAGAGCGTAGAGTTCTCGCTCATAAGTAGATGTCGCTACCTTCTCTGACGGCATCCTAGCAGACATGTACTCTACGGGTCTATAACCATTGCCATCGTCTTGCTGCAGAACAGCACCTATGCCGTACTGACTTGCGTCCGTAGTGACGACAAAGGGTAAGGACGGATCGACCACCTTAAGGACTGGATATTCTATCAGTGCATGCTTCAACTTCTTCATGGCAGATGTGCAGTCCTTGTCCCACTTCCAGATGGTCTCTTTCCTAGGCAATCTGCGAAGGGGCGCAGCGACAGTGGAGAAGTTCCTTACGAACTTCCTATAGTAGTTTACTAGGCCTAAGAACGACCGCAACTCTGTTAACGTACGCGGCGTAGGCCAATCCCTGATCGCTGCAATCTTACTATCCTCGGGCTTGATGTCGTCTCCGTCTAAGACGTGGCCTAAATACAACACTTGGGTCTTTGCCCATTCGCACTTCTTTGCGTTGATCTTGAAGTTAGCTTCTCTCAGCTTCTCCAAGACCTGCCTGAGATGACCCTGATGCTCTTCGAGGGTCTTGCTAAACACTAGGATATCATCCAAATAGACTACAACGAACCTATCTAACCACAGCCTAAACAAATCATTCATACATCGCTGGAAAGTCGCTGGCGCGTTGGTTAGTCCAAAGGGCATCACGATGAACTCGTAGTGCCCGTATCTAGTCCGGAAAGTTATCTTGTACTGATCATCAGGATGAACCTCTATCTGATGATATCCGGACTTTAGATCTATCTTCGTAAAATACTTGCACCCCTGCACTCGATCTAAAAGATCATCTATCCTAGGCAGTGGCTCAGCATTCTTTACTGTGATAGCATTCAGACCCCTATAGTCTATACACATCCTAAGCTCTCCCCCCTCCTTGGGAACAAACAGAACAGGTGCTCCAAATGGAGACGAACTGGGCCTAATCCAACCCTTCTCTAGGAGCTCGTCAAGTTGCTTGCGCAGCTCCTCTTATTCCTGCGGAGACATCCTATACACGGCTCCTTTGGGGGTCCTACTGCCAGGCTCTATCTCGATTCGATGCTGGATGGGCCGCGGAACTACTGTCGGCGACTCAGCTAAATCTTTAAACTCCTCCAGCAGCTTGGCAATAGCAGGGTCTATAGGCTTTTCTTCCTTAGGCTCAGTGACTGGCCTAACATAGTCTACAAAAACCTGTTCCTCTAGTTGCTCCTTCTTCACTAGTCTTGCGAACGCAGGAGCACTAAGGCAGCAGTGCGCCAGGGAGTTGTCTACTCCTGACACATGGAACAAACGGGTAGCCTTGACGCCGCCTGACGGACTAGGGAGCCTACACTCGTGCTCTCTCAAATGGAGTGTGGCCCCTGCTGCCTCTCCCCAGTCCATACCTAGGACTATGTCAAAGGGGAGGCTATCCTCTACGCGGAGAGTCAGGGAATGGAGAACTTTCTCCACTTTCCCATCCTTTTCTAGGCGGAAATACACTCCCCTCTACGTAATCTTCTACTCGCATGGTGCGATTGTCCGCGAGGATACTCACGATGGGGTCCGCTAATCTTTGGACTTTTAGTTGCAACTTCAGCTTCTGTAGCGCCTTCCTACTAATATAACTACGAGTGGCTCCACTATCCACTAAGGCGCCAACTCGACCTCTAAAAATCTTTGTGTCTACTAATATAAGCTGCCCCTTATTCTCCTTTTTCATCTTGGCCCAGGCGGGCATCCTCTCCTTCAATTCTTCAGCCACGCCTGTGAGGGAGGTGTCTAGAGAGACTCTAACACAAGCAGTCTCTGGACAGCCATCTAGACACCGGCCTGCAACCTCTGCCATAGGCACGTGGTATGGGAGTCTCCTGCCGGCTAACGCTACTTTCCCCACATGGCCTTATGGTAGGGGCAGTTGCTACCCCTACCGGCGGCTGCCTTTTGGCCCTTGAGCAGCCGATCGGGTCTCTCTATACTTCGGACATTATTTAATGATGTGGCCAGGGTCACCGCAATAAATGCACTGCCCCTGGTTCACACGCTGCTGCCATATACGCTGGTTCAGACCCAAATCTTCCCAGGGCCTGCCCTGCGGCAGCCCTGGGTACCAACCACTTCTCCTATAGGGGGACCTATTCCCAGACCGGTTTTGCGGGGGACCTTGACCCCTTCCTCCCACTTGGCGGTTTCCTCCTTTGCCGCCAACCCCCTGATCGCCCTGAGAACGGTTCCCTGAGGCCCGTCCCCCTTGGCCCTGGCCTCGTCCTCCTCCTTGCGGCCTCCCTCCAGCCGCGACAGCAGCGTAAGTCCTCCCTTGGCTCGCGCTGCTGTCTTCGTCCTCTAACCCTCACTCAATCTGCTCGTAGGGTATTTCGTCAACATTACCTTCATCTAAAGTGAGGACAAGACTATCCTTAGTCTTAACTTGCCCTGAGATAGTGTAACCTTTCCATTGCTTTCCTTTGTCTAAGTCTTTGTGCCAGAAGGTGGAAACTGACACAGACTTTGCCTCCAAAGCCACCACTTCGCGACTAAGGGAATCATAAGTGGTGGCAGGATCTTTGCTCTTCGCAAAGAAATGCCCTCGGAAGGCTTCGGGCATAGCCCGAAAGAAGAGGCTGACCAATTGGGTCTTTGTGACCCCGTGGTCAGGAACAGTCACTAATTCGTCCATGACGCCCTCGAGTGCCCTGGCACTCTTCCATTTACGAGCGTGGATTGTCTGAAGCTTATCTGAGGCCTTGACACTACGAGCGACATCCGCAAACCGCTCGCGCAGTAATTTCATAAAATCGGCGAGGGGAGTGAACGATGAATAGGCAACTGCATCATTATTGCAGTTGCCAGCGCGGACTAGGGATCTCGCGAAACAGGCAGCCTCATCTCAAAGCGCATGAATTGCAATCAACACATGCTGATCCGGGGAGACCTGTTGCAAATGCACATAAGTCTTGACGTTGGCCTCCCAATTGTCTTCCCTCTTTTCACTGTAGGAATCGGGGAACTTGACTTCGACTGGCTCCCTGCAAGGACGTGCCTCTTCCTCCTTGGGAGCTGTCAGCTTGACGCCTTCAATGGCGCCCATGCAGAATCGTTCTGTCTTCTCGAGGCGATGGTTCACCTCGACCCCTACTACGCCTACCAGTTCGCGGGCAAAATCCCGAAATCCCATCCACATCGAGCGTACGGCCATATCCTGACTTCTGCTAAACTCGTATTGTTCTCCCTGTACCCGGGCCAATCGCTCAACACTCTGGGCAATGACCTCCACCTTACGTTGGAGATCCACCTGGGCGGTCAACTGTTCTCTCAGGTTCTTCACCTGCTCTAATTCCTTGGCCACCTCACTTGCTGCATCCACTCTCCTCTTCTTTTCCCTCATCATCCTAAGCCTCCACTCCATCTTTTTCTCATCCTCCATCGCCTGCCGCTTCAGGGAATCTTCCTCTGCATCCCATTCTTTCATGGCGGCCTCCTGCTCATCCTTGGGGATATACATGGCAACCTCCTCCTCTTCCCCCAAAGACAAGTTAGCAACCCACTCTGAAATCCTTTTTTCCATTTCATCATTTTTACTTCCACTGTACTGCCCTCGTTGCTCTCTCCTCCTTTCCAACGGCTGCTCATCTTCCTCCTCCTCCTCCTCTTCCACCTCTTTTAACTTCGTCTCTTCCTCTTTTTTCAATCTTTCCTTCTCTCTGGCCATCTCCTCCTCAATCTTCTTCAATTTCGCCGCCTGCGCCTCCAACAAGGCCTTCTTCTTGGCCTCCTTCTTCTCTCTCCTCTCCTTCAGGATTGCGGCAGCCTTGGCCTCCTCTTCAGGTGTGTAGGGTCGTACCACCCTTGGTTTCTACCCTACACGAGAATGTGTTCCAGAATCCCAACGGAAACATGAAACGCCAAAGCGTCCCCCAAAGGGAGAACCCAACGAGTAAACCATACATGGGGTAGTCATCCATGGTGATAGGTGCACGACAGGACAGTCCCACTCCTCACCACTTAGACCAGCCCGCAGACTCACTGACAGACTCTCTACGGACCACAGGGTTGAGCCCTGTCAGCTATGGTCACTAGCCTAGACCTACTCTAAGGCTGTCACTACTGAACCAGTGGCTGATCTGGAGGCATTTAAGGAGATCCCCCTAACTCCGCAAGAATTCTTTAACGTCGCAGACAGGACGACGTGATCAGCTTGGTCCTTACCTGTCGCACCGCCCACAGCTCTGCTTTTCAAGCCTACCGTGCCACACCGAGCAGCCCGCCGGTCTGTACCGGTCCTTGGGAGGGTTCGTATCCCCCCGGGACAGTCGAGTCGTTAGACACAGTCTTTAGCCTTACTAGGTCTGACAGGGTTCGGGTCAACAAGGCCCTCAACACCTAGACTGCCTGTTGTTTCAGCCCACAACTCAGTCTTTCAGGCCCACTATACCATACCAACCGTGTCCAGCCGGTCAGCACCGGTCCTTGGGAGGGTTATGCCCCCCTGGACAGTTGGATCTGCCACAGCCTCAGCCCTACTAGATCCGGTAGGGGAGTGGTCAACCAGGCCTATCCTTCATCCACAGAGTGCTATCACCTAGGACAGAAGAGACTCAATGCAGAAAGGAGAGACAAACAGACTCAGACTCAGCAAGTACTGCAGGGTGAGTGCACATCCACAGGGCGAAGGGGTAGGCTAAGGGCTTGGTGGGTTATTACCAACTCCAGCTTGGTCAAAGTCTTGGTCAACGGCACCGCTCAACTCCTCAGTCAACGCTTGGTCAACGCGGCAGGACCCCGATCAACACCCCGGTCAACCTTCCGGTCAACATCCGGTCAACCCTCCGGTCAACTCTCCACCTCGGCTATGGCTGCCGGCACCTTCCACTTCGCCACCCTTGTCTTCTTCTCCTCCTTCCTTCACCTTCTTCTTCCTTTCTTTT